AAAAAAACTCAAAATATAAACAAATTTTGAAAAAAACCACTTTGGAAGGGAGGCACATAAGAAAGTGTGATGTACTTAAAACTGAAGTATTTCACTTGGCGGTCCCAAAATACGTCCTCGAATTCAAAAACACCGAACAATCTCAAAGGCTAATTCTAATCAGACTGCATGAACGGGATTAGGCATATCGGATATCCCGGGATAATCTAGGATTAGGAATATCGGATTTGTACTTTTCTTTGGTGATATCGATGAAACAGCAACAGGTAGTCTAAAATACAGAATTTGACATAACTACGTCCAACATATATATTGCACTTCTGCACCTTAAAGACATCGAAAGCTTCACACCAGCAATGCTGGGCAGCTCCAGTGATACCGGGAAATACCAAAATCAAAACTTCATCTATATTCCACTGTCTACGAGGGAGGCAATCGGAACTTCCTCTCACAAACAGCAACATGTGCCAACTGCGACCACACGCTGGTAAAATTGTAGATCTTCGAAGGTTCCGTAACCAGGTGGCAGACTGAGAGGGCATATAAAGGAGAAACACTGTAATGTATCAATCACAAAAAACACACAAGCAACGAATATAACAAGTGCTTTCGTACAAACGAAAGTACAGTACACGTTACACTGTTAAACTGGTACCACCTTACTCTTGTCACAACAAATTTAAATAATTCTTGTTAGTTAAAATTAGTCCGGGGGAAAAACTTAAAGTTCTAGTCGCTCCTGAGTTCTTGTCGTTGTAAATTTAAGAAAAAATAACAATAACACAATTGAAACATTTCTTTCGGAAAAGTAATACCTGCAAATTTGTGCAGAGGAGGGCCAGTCTATGGACTTTTGGAGTATAACCGTACCCAGATGACCCCATATAAGTACCATTTTCACAAATCTAAGCCGATGTAGCGCGATTTCGCGCAATACCGTTATCTTCCACAAATAATAACTTGCTTGGTCGATTGTATCCTACCCTTACACCGGTAATTTAAAGAGTTATTTAAAAAAAAAAAAAGCCTAATCTCTCTTTGAATCTTTGTGATAAAGGAACACAAATGAAAACAGCACGACTCCGATCATCATCGAAAATGATGACACATAGTATGGGTAAGCACTGTAGATGAAACGTTCGTATTGCGTATGTTGAAGTGGTCGTACCGACACCTAAAAAAAAATTTTGCATATTTTGAAATTTCGCTTATCAAAATGAGGAGAAAAAGCAAAACCCAGGCTGGAACGCACCAGGCGAGCCGGTGCGATTATACACTTTTGCAGCAAACTCGAAGTAATTAGGTTAACTGCATGAACGGTTGTTTCTTCACACCTACCTTGTGCGCACAATACCATAAATCATCGCAAATTTTGCACAAAAGGAAATAAACAACGCAAAAAACCATCCAGAGACTTCTAGTATAAACAGATTCTCACCTGCTGTACATCCAGCAAATGAGTGTAGCCAATACGCCGATAATCAACCATAAATTTATAGACACCATATACATCCGGAAGTTTGAAATAAGTTTTCAGCTTACCATCTTCAAAAAAAAAAACCAATTTTTATCTTCATTTTAATCATAACATTATAAAAATAAAAGTTAAAACAGAAAATAGAGAGGTTATAGAAAGCCGAACCAAAACTGGACGGCCCAAATATGGCCGCCAAAGAGAGTTAATCCGCAAAAACCTCACCTCTCCTCCTCCCGTATTCACTCCCTATATTAGAAATAGAGGCATTCGAAAAATAGCCCGAGCGGGTAGCAAACAATCAGTGGCAAGGCTGTCGATGGCTCTCTCTCTTGCTTGAATGTAGCTTATAAGCAAGCTGCTGATGGCAGAAGTATCAAAATACTAGCCGCAGATAGCGGGAATTTGAAACTGAGGGAACCAGGGGCACTTACTCGAATTCTTTAGTGTTGTTCTAACAAACGGATCAATGCGAACAAATTCCAGTTGCATGTCTTTTCCTTTGAATGGACTCCATTTGCCATCGGCCAGCTCTTCAACCTCGATTGAATACTCGACATTCTCCATTATCGTGTATTCGCGTGGCGGATTTCTTTCACCAGTCTGTAACAGATAACAGCTTCTTCAAAGCCAAAACGAATGCTCTTCACATGCAAACGTAGAAGATATAAATAAAATAAAACAAAATAATGAACCAAAAATAAATAAATAATGGACGAATGCTCTCCGCAACATGGACCAAAACAGTTCGTTTTTTTTTTTTTTT